GGTCAAACACCTGGCTACTACTCATCGACAGAACTACGTACTATTTCCCTCTGTGTATTGTTACTCCCTTCATCACTGTATTTAATAAATCACCGCTTGCACCGAAGTCGGCTACTGGGTCCGCCTCTTTCTCGTTCGCACACTGACTGGTGCGAACGGTACCTAAGATAAACAAAAATGAGACATACCACTTTGGCTTGCTTGTGAGCAAAGGCTGGTAGTAAAACTCAAACTTCTTAAATTAATGCCTTTAGTGTCCTTTTCTTCTGTCCCTTTCTCTGCTGCTAGTCTTCTCTGTCTCGTCGAAGGACCGGAAGTAGCATAGCGGAAACAATAGTTCCGACAAAATAAAACTTATGGGACTAATTGTATTCAAAATAAAACTCTATCAATATACGAAAACAAATACTATTCATAATGTTGTATAAGAAATACAAAACACATAAACAAAATGTGCAACTTCATAAACTTATCTGCTGCATAACAATGACCTTCACAGGATGCACAGAAAACTGCACAGACTCCGCGACAGCAGCTACACTCCCACCATCACACTATGTGGGATTCTTCATAACATTTGACAGAAAAATAAAGTTATTTAAAATTAAGGACAATAAAATTGTGAACCTTAAACATGTGTTTACTCTTATTGAACATTACTCGGCCTCAAGTAGAAGTATTGTCTTGTGTATTGGTCTCTCTAAAAATGTTTTAGTTATGTGTGTTTTTGTGTTATCTAGTATGGTGTCACTAACAAAAAGCTTGACCTTTCTGACCTTGCTGTCAGCTCCTGGAAAGACTTCTACCACCTTAGCGAGCTTCCACTGGTTCCTTGCCAAGCTGTCATCTTGGAGTAATACAGTTTCATTGATCTTAGCATTTCTTTGAGTCTTATTCCATTTGCTTCTCTGTTGCAGGTTCAACAGATATTCTTTTCTCCACCTGGTCCAGAATACGTTTGCTAAATACTGAACTCTTTTCCATCTCTTTTGAAGATAGAAATCTTCTTTGACGAATTCTCCAGGGGGTGGTGTAGTGATGGTCGGCTTCATTGTCAGTAAGTGGCTTGGTGTCAGTGGTTCTGGTCCCACAGGATTGTTGATACACTCTACAGTGAGTGGTCTGCTATTCACGATTGCCATGACTTCATACATGAAAGTTCTCAACGATGAAGTGTCTAGCCTTTGAGCAGATTGGTCTAAGATTGAATTTAAAACACTTATTATTGTCCGAATCTGCCTTTCCCAAACGCCGCCCATGTGACTGGAAGCAGGTGGGTTGACTACAAAACTGCAGCCTAGATCTTTTAGTTTCTCTTCGCTTGCTTTCGTCAAGTTCAGGAACTTAAAGTTCCCACCCCAGTTTGTGTTGGCTAAACAAACCAAATAGTCCTTTCATGTTTTCCAACCCCCAAGGAAGAGGTGGGCTGTTATGGAACATGGCAGAATTCCCCACAGTATGCATGCTGTGATGTGGTGGCAAATAAGAACATGGGTTAAGGATTTCCTCCCTGTCAGCCATAGACGTTCTAAGGGAATAAAACATTAATATGTAGGAAATAGGGTGTTTACAGTATCTCTATTAAAAACAACCTGTGTTCAGAACTTTAATCACTTTGATGCTGAATTGTGTTAATATGGTTAATGTTACATATAAAGTTGCCTCAAAGAACATTCAATGGGAGAACTGCTGTTACCACTGTGTATATGCCAACATGCAAACCGTGTTTCCAGGCAGAAAGAATCAAGTTTCAGACAAGAATCAGACAGTGACAATGTTCAAACAAGATGTGTAGATGTGACTGAGACAATGCCAGTCAGATGCTGTGGGGGCAGGTGTAGCAGCGCTGCTTCTCCACAGAGCCACAGTGGAAAATGTATCGCATGAGGTAAACAGTGGCCCATATTACAGCACAATATGATACAGTGTAAACAGAGCTATCAGTAACCCTTGAAGCTGAGCAGCATGTGTTTGCCAAGCCCGGTCCCCATACAGGTAGTGACTTGCTTTTCACCAGAAATCATCGTTGATATTTACACATCTGGAGCCAGATAATTACTCAGCTGGAGCATTGAAAGACACACCGGGGGGAAGGACAAACAGGATGTAGTGTGAATGATGAAAAGGAATAATGAAAAAAAAGCCCTAGCTTGGCAGGTTGAAGTGCAGCATGATCTCTTGGCAAGCATCCAGATTGTTTTCTGACTCTAAGCCACCTTGTATTAACTCGCTACTAACCTGATTAACCTGTTCCTGGATCCATCAGGAGCAGATATAGGAATGATAGATTCCGGGCTGGCAGCCAGGCGAGCCATCTTGACCTAAATGGTTTGTGTAATTAACAGAGAAGCTCGGTGGAATGACAGGGGGTAATTGTAGCGTTTGCAGATGATGTCTTATTGTCATCGAGGGTGCCTCCTGGGCTGTTACGGGTACGGGCGGCTGCTGCTTTGGGATGGGAACAGAAACCTGGCAGCACTAGACACGCAAACCCCCAGTTGATTCTACCCATTCACCGCCTCCTTACTGATCCAAAACCCTTCTCCCCCACCTCTCCGATCCCTTGGCACCCCTGCTAGATCAAGCTGCTGTAAAGCAGTTGCATGATATCCAAACAGCCTTGTCACAATAGCTGGAAATATGGCAGAGGGGCTGCGGGGGGTGGGGCATTAAAAATGTAGCTCTCCTTTTAAAGCTCAACATGGAGCAGGTCTTCAAGAGGGAAATGGTGGCTTGGTGGATGACTTCACATGCAGCCTTGCACCTTGGCCTTTACTATTCCCTTGTTTACGCTGTACCATGTGCACCTTCAGTGGTATATGACCCTTGTAGAAAGAAATTCTTGATAAAATGATATAGTGCTATGTTATGTATTTGCAAAACTGTTCAAATAATTGTTTAATCTGTGTGGCCTTTGTAAAGATTTGACCTGTGGACATGACATGCTGTAAGGAGGTGCAGAGAGACTCAGAACAACAGGAAGTCGTGCAGATACATACTGAGATGACTAAACTGTCTGCACGAGAATTGTGTGTGGGTGTAAGGTCTGATTGTCTTGGCTTCAGATTATCAACATTTATCAACATTATATGAAATTCTAGGATTGACATTATAATCTGCATTAGCAAATATATCTACATGTTTACTTTAGTATCATATGCTTTATGATTTACTTTCATTTTAACCAGTTCACTTGTCTTGAAGCATATAGGAGACGTGTGGGCTGCAAGAATCAGACAGGAAACCACACAGAACAGGAAGTAGACCAGTTCGCATAGCAATTAAATCTGCAGACAACAACTAAATGTTTATAAAGACGTATGTAGGAGTGTAATGTCTAGGTCAAAAGGTCAGGATGTCGTTCAAGAGTTTCACAGATCAAAATCTGCCTGGCGACAAGATCACCAAATGAGGGGTCAGAACGAGGTCAAGAAACCAACTAAGGAACGAGGATGGACAGCACGGATGACGTCAGATCATTTGCATGACTCTTATTATAAATTCTTTATGCAGAGGAAACTCGTGGTTCTGGCTTCCTGCAGCAGCTATGCACTATACTTCTGTGTGACAGGGCTTCAGAAAGAGACGGAATTCAGAGCTCTGTATTGCTTTTCTTCAGTATTTTTCCTTAAATATTGATGGTAATAAATATCCCAAAAAGACAGATTTGTCTTTGAGCATTCTTCATAAAAAGAACACGCAGGACTGGTTTAGTCCAACAGGTATCAAAATGTTCAGCTCTTCAAGGACATTCATGCTTCTCTTCAGGGTTTTTCTAAACTTCATACTTTTTAATTCCATCCATCCATCCATTTTCCTCCACTTATCCGAAGCCGGGTCGCGGGGGCAGCAGTCTAAGCAAAGATGCCCAGACTTCCCTCTCTCTAGACACTTCCTCCAGCTCCTCCGGGGGAATGCCAAGGCGTTCCCAGGCCAGCCAAGAGACGTAGTCCCTCCAGCATGTCCTGGGTCTTCCCCGGGGCCCGCTCCCAGTGGGACATGCCCGGAACACCTCCCTAGGAAGGCGTCCAGATGCCCGAGCCACCTCAGCTGGCTCCTCTCGATGTGGAGGAGCAGCGGTTCTACTCTGAGCTCCTCCCAGGTGACCAAGCTCCTCACCCTATCTCTAAGGGTGCGCCCAGCCACCCTGCGGAGAAAGCTCATTTCGGCCACCTGTATCAGGGATCTTGCCCTTTCGGTCATGACCCAAAGTTCATGACCATAGGTGAGAGT